AACTTCTTATACAATTTATAAAATTACAACAATACTCTTTATTTGATTGGAGTTTTCAATACATAATAGTTTTACTGGTAATATCTATATATTTGTTACATTTAATATTATTTAAAACTCAGATAATATATTAAATATATTTGATGTCAATGTATGTTATGTAAAAATTAATACTGCAACAAAGGTATTCTTGAAAAAATGTTATACCTTAACAACATTTTGTTAATCATAGTATTGGCTCAGATAAAGATTTACTTTTATTATACTGAAACTATTTAATTGTCACTCTTTCTCATGACTTCAATTTCAAATGAATCATTAAAATAGTCAGTATAAAAATATAATGCTTTTAAATACAATTCAAAGACATTGGATAAATGTGATTATAAATTCAATTCAATATAATTTAAATAAAGGTAATGAGTTTGATTTATTATTTTCTTTTATTTCCATTGGTCATTTCAAACAAATATGATAAGAGAAATATCCTTATTAAGTTAAATAAATAAAATATAAATTTGATTTAAAAATTATAGCACATGTTTGATATTGTAGTAATAAAACATATTTATCAAAGTAATAACTGCTCATCTATTTTTATTTTTGGTATTGTTATAATTTTTACAGTTTGAATATATGCTTTTATCAAAATTACATTATTACTAATCAAATAGTAATTAAAATTATAAAAATACATTTAGCAAATATATGTTCTTTGTGGTTACAATTGATTTTAATAAATACTCAAATCAGAATGATGCTGATGAAAACTATTTTATACTTTTGAATATTACATTTTGTTGTTCTTTAGAGCATCTTTATGAATCAACAAATGAATCAAATAAATTTAACATCCTGATTAAAGTATTTTCTATAATTTATAGTGTTTAATTTAAATAATATTTTCTTACCATAGTTCTTTTTTTATTTATCAAACTAATAACAACAAATATTATATAATGAAGAGTTTGTTTCAACTCAATAACAAAACCTAATAGTAGAACACAAAAATAAACAAATTTGTGAAGAAAGTGTGTCTGTTTGATGTGGTTCAATGACTAAGTTCATACCAGATTAATTAATATTTTTCTTAACAAAAACCCAATGAATGGAATTTTAAAAAATATAATTTTAGTACTTAATTTTGACTGTCAATATGTTTATAATGCTGTTAATAAAGAGAGAATATGATAAAAAAACAACAAATATGAAATAATAATAATAAATTATTTTAAAATTAAAAGTCTAAATATCATACCTAATAAAAAATTTATATTTTAGCAAATAGTAAACTATATTATAGTAGTTAAGAATGATGAATAAAAAGAAAATAAATGAGCTCTCGCTTAATATATTTATATGACATAGACTTATAAAAATAAGCAACTAATCAAAGATAGTTTTCAAAACACAAGTTATCTAAAAATAGATAACAAATGTTAAAAATAAATGATAAACATATCCTAAATATACAAAATAACTACACCAAGAAGTAATATAATATGTATAACAGTTATAAGTAAATTATGAAAAATAAAGTATTTATAAATAAAAGAAAGAAATAAAAGTAATGTGATTACATTAGACTTTTGATAAAATAAAAAGAAGAAATTATAGTATATATTAATTAAAAATTTCATATTTAATGAAACTCCATTGGTTTAAATAATAATGTAATTATTGTATTTTAAATTGAAAAAAATAATTAATAGTTATTTAAACAGACATATAATTAAATAATTAATAATATACATTTTATCAATACTTATTTATCATATAAATATAAAAATTGAATTAATCATATTAAAAACCAAGTCGAATAATAATTAAAACCAGTATTAAATTCAATAAAAAATATTGTTTATTGGTAAAAACCAATAATCAGAGTATTTTGTTATGTAATAAACGAAATAATATTTTTGTAAAGAAAACATAAAACTTAAAGTTTTATTCTGGTATAAATTAACAATTTAGTTAACCCCCGTTTCGAGTCATCAAGCAAGAAACATGACAAGACTATATTATATAATTCATTTTTGCGTGTGTTTTAGCTCAAACATGAAAACAATTTGTTGTTTATTCATACCCTATAACTAATAATATTATTTATAAACGAAGAACTAACTAAAACAAACTCAACAGAAGAAGAATAAACAAAAGAGCAGAGTTAACCTTTTTCTTATCAACATTTAAAATGCATTTAGCTTCAATAAATATAGTCAAATAATATGCTCTAAAAAAAGGAATAATTTTTTTAAAAAAAGAAGAATAAAGTGAATATAAAGAAATAAAATCAATTCTAATTTCTTCTTTTTTTTTTCTTAACAAGTACAAAAGTAAAAATAGGATTTTTTGAAATTGCTTTTGATATTTTATGTAATTTTATTTCAATAAATCTAAGTTTGTAGGATTTTAATTTTAATTTTTCTCTTCTTATTTGGTGTATTGAATACTTAAGAAATTGAAATTTCTCGAACATCTTTTAGATATTTTTAGTTTATGACACAATTAAAAATTCACCTTGCGAACGAACTGTAAAATAATAAAAATAAATGACTACTAAGTACAGTGTAAAGTTTAGAGGAATCATTCATATTAGTGGCGAAAATAACTCTGTTTTTTCTGGCTTAATGAAGTCAACTTCAGAGTTTATTCTCAATACAATGTCTTCTTTAAATGAAGATCATAAACCAAATGTTCCACAAATAATTAAAACCATTCAAGACTCTCAAATGGTAGAACGTCTTGAGAAAATCACAAAATTTTCTGAAGAAGAAATTAAATTAATTCAAATTGCTGAAGACCAAAAAGAGAGTTTAAAAATTTTAGAGAAAATTAAAAAAGACAAACAAGTAATTTTTAAGATTTATCAAAATATGAATAATTTAGAACAGTTAAGAGATTACTGTTCTCGTGTAGTTGATTTTGTATCAGATGTGTCTCAAATATTAAAAAATGTAGACTTATGGAATTGTAAAGGAGCAATTAGTTATATTGATAAATTAAGGTTGTATATTAAAACAATGGTTGAATATTTAAAAGCTAATTCTGGAAGAAAAATTATATCTTCTGAACTTAATAGTGTTCGTCCTACTGGAGATATTATAGTTAATGCAGTATATAATTTTATGACTTCAAGAAGTAGTACTTACAAAGAAGAAGAAGGAAAAGTCAGTATGTGTGCCTTAAATATTAAAATGGGTTATGATAATCTTTATGAATTTGTACTTGGTAAACAACCTGTTGAAAAAGTTAAAGAATTTAAAGAAAGTCTAGATGAAGCAGAGAGATATCTTAAAAAAGAATTTGACTTTGGAGTCATTGTGAATGTTGAAAAGAAAGACATTGCTGAACAAGCTATTATTAGTCTTGAAAATGCTAAGACTCAAGAAGACAAAGATAAAGCAGCTATCCAATTACTTAATGGATTGAATGAACGTGCATTATTACAAAAAGATGAACATAAAAAGAAAATTCTTGCTAAAGTCATTACTACAAAAGATAATAAAAAGAAGAAAAATTACACTGAGTTATTGCAAGCAGCAAGAAAATTATCTGAAAATGTTGACTCTTTGAAAGAAATAGTTTATCAAACTGATACTGCTACTTGTATTGATACTCTTTCTTTTTCACAAGTCAGAGATCAAATGCTTGGCATGTAATTCTACTTTTTTTATGTATTATTTATTTTCTTATCATTACTTTATATCACATCAAGAAATTAACAACTCGAAGATTGAAGAAAATTAATAAAATTAAAAAAAAGGATGAAGGGTTTTTATGTTAGAAAAAAAGAAGAGTAAAAATAATACGTGTAAAATCGTGGCGGTATTATAAAAAAGAACTTTAAAGAATAAAAAATAATAAATTTAAAAATGTCAGCACGTAAGTTTGTCGTTGGTGGAAATTGGAAATGTAATGGTACTCTTGCTAGTATTGAAACATTAACTAAAGGAGTTGCTGCTTCAGTTGATGCTGAACTTGCTAAGAAAGTTGAAGTTATTGTTGGAGTTCCATTTATTTATATTCCAAAAGTTCAACAAATTCTTGCAGGAGAAGCTAATGGTGCTAATATACTTGTTTCTGCAGAAAATGCATGGACTAAATCAGGAGCATATACTGGAGAAGTTCATGTTGGAATGTTAGTTGATTGTCAAGTTCCATATGTTATTCTTGGACATTCTGAAAGAAGACAAATTTTCCATGAAAGCAATGAACAAGTTGCTGAAAAAGTTAAAGTTGCTATTGATGCTGGATTAAAAGTCATTGCTTGTATTGGTGAAACTGAAGCACAAAGAATTGCTAATCAAACTGAAGAAGTTGTTGCAGCACAACTTAAAGCTATTAACAATGCTATTTCAAAAGAAGCATGGAAGAATATTATTCTTGCATATGAACCAGTCTGGGCTATTGGAACTGGAAAGACTGCTACTCCAGATCAAGCTCAAGAAGTTCATCAATACATCAGAAAGTGGATGACTGAAAATATTTCTAAAGAAGTTGCTGAAGCTACAAGAATCCAATATGGTGGATCTGTTAATCCAGCTAACTGTAATGAACTTGCTAAGAAAGCTGACATTGATGGATTCTTAGTTGGAGGAGCTTCATTAGATGCTGCTAAATTCAAGACCATCATTAACTCAGTTTCTGAGAAATTCTAAAGTAAATTGAATTAGGTTTTATATAACATATTTTTGTGTTTAATCAGAGAAATAAAATTTTTTTAGTATAAACAAAAAATTTAATAAATAATTTAATTCATTTTTTTCGAGTAATATATGAATGAGGTTTGTCAAAGAAAATCACATAGAAAAAAGGAAAAGAAATAAATAATAAAGATATGATAAAACAATAGGATAAAAAAGAAACTAATAAAAATAGAATTGCTAAAAAAAAGCCACGTTAGTATCAATTAATCTCCACATCATATTTAATTATAGCAGTTGAGAGTTAGTATAAAAGGAAATCTAAATCTTTAACTTTATTCAAATTACATTCTAATGAGAGCACGTATGGTAGGACCAGGAAGTTCTTCTTCAAATTATAAAGCAACTGTTGATCCTTGTCGATTTATGGGATGTGGACCTTCTTCATCTACAACTTCTGGTTATAGAAGACCAGGTTCTGATGCAGCTGGACCTATGGCATCTCGTGGTACTTGGGCAGCTACTACAGATATTGGAGTTACTGCTGCTGCAGCTAAAACAAGTGAGTCAGGTTATAGAGCTGGATCAAATGCAGCTGGACCTATGGCATCTAAGGGAA